TACAGCTTGCGCTTCAAGCTCTTAAACAAGACGCGACTCTCTCTCTACAGCGCGCTGCAGCTATCTATAGAGCTCCCCTACAGACACTAAGCGACCGACGCGCTGGACGACCTTCACGAGTTAATTCTATGCCTAAATTACAGAACCTAACCAATACTAAGGAGCAGGTAATTGTTAATTATATACTTAAGCTAGACGCGCAAGGATTTTCCCCTTAGCTAGCAGCTGTGGCTGATATAGCCAATTCTTTGCGCGCTAAGCGCAGTCTAGGCTATGTTAGCCTAAACTAGCCTAGTACGTTTGTTAAGCGCTAACTAGAGCTTAAAGTGAAGTTTAATCGCAAGTATGACTACAAGAGAGCCCTCTGCGAGGATCCTAAGATAATCTAGGGCTGTTTTAGCCTAGTAGCTAATATTAAAGCCAAGTATAGTATCTAGGATAACAACATGTACAACTTTAATTAGACAGGCTTTATAATAGGCTAGATATCTACTAGAGCAGTTGTTACAGCTTTAGAGAGACAAGGACAGCTAAAGCAGGTCTAGCTAGGCAATTAGAAGTAGATAATAGTTATTAAGGGCATTAATGCTAAAGGGTAGGCTGTTCTGCCCTTTATTATCTTCTAGGGCTATAACTACCTCTTAAACTAGTATAAAGAGGATAATCTACCCTATAATTAGGTTATTAGGGTCTCTAATAATAGCTAGACTACTAACAAACTTAGTCTTAACTAGTTAAAGCACTTTAACACGCATATAAAGGAGTGTATTATTAACAGCTACTGTCTACTAGTTATTAATAGTTATAAGAGCTATAACTTACTAGATTTCTAGGAATACTACAAGGATAACAAGATTATTACTATATGTATGCCTCTGCACTAATTGCATCTCCTGCAGCTACTTAATGTAGGCTGTTTTGCCCCTCTAAAGAAGGCATATAGGTAGGCTGGCGGATGGGTAGGGTATGCTTTTTTACGTTTTGGCTTATAGCTTCTTAACTAGCAGAGATACGCTTACATAATCTATTATTTAATAGAAGCGCCTAGTATTGCGCCTTCTAATAAAA